ACATCATCAGATGGCCCAGGGTTCTGAAGCTGGAAGTGGCCAGAGAAATCCTTGCTGTTTATTTCTCTAGTGGAAGCACAAGGAAAGCAAGTAGGGGCCAGAGAGGTTAAATGATTTATCGAAAGTCATAATGAAGAAATTGGGTTAGAACGAGGTTTACTGCCTCCAAGTCTGATGTTTCGTCCGCTCTGCATCATGTTGTCCTCTGCAAAAATCAATAAGGGGGAAACTCAATACAATCTTTATGATATTTTGCCGTGTAAATGGTTGTTGGTCTAGATCCTTGGTGTTTTTTTGTTTTTTTTGTTTTTCACCGTCATGCATTTCAAATTCAGTTTTTGGAAATCTAAGTTCTGATTCTTTGTATCCGTCTGCTTCTGAGATTGGTTTGTGTTTCAGTCACCATTGCTGTGTAACAAATGATCCCAAGCTCAGTGGCTTAAGACAGCTGTTTGACTTTTCCCATAACCTGGAAAGGACTTGGCAGGGTGTGTCTCGCTTGGCGTCTCTCATGGGGTTGCACTGGAAGTTGGCTGGGGCGGAGGGACCCCAATGGAGTTGAGAGCTTAGGTGGGGCTGAGTGCCGGCCGAATCTTCCCATGTGGTCCATGGCTGCCCTGGGGCCTCAGCATTCTCCTAGTGCCGTGGTCGGCAAACTGCGGCTCGCGTGTGGCTCTTCCACAAAATACCATGTGCGGGCGCACGTACAGTGCGATTGAAACTTCGTGGCCCATGGGCAGAAGTCGTTTTTCAGCCTGTGGGAGTCTATTTTGAAGAAATACTGTTGATATTTGGCTCTGTTGACTAATGAGTTTGCCGACCACTATAAGTGGCTCCGGTCTCCAGATCGGGATCCCAGCTGGTTAGGCAGGAACTGCATAGCTTTTTATGGCCTAACCTTGGGAGTTAAGAAGTGTTACTTCCTTTAAAAATTTTTTATTTATTAAAAAAATTTTTTTTATTGATTTCATAGAGGAAGGGAGAGGAAGAGAGAGAGAGAGAGAGAGAGAGAGAGAGAGAATATCATGGATCGGCTGCCTCCTGCACGCATTCTACTGGGGATGGAACCAGCAACCTGGGCTTGAGCCCTGACCGGGAATTGAACCGTGACCTCCTGGTTCATAGGTGGATGCTCAACCCCTGAGCCACGCCGGCCGGGCCTCAGACCTATTTTCAGATTATTCAGCTTTTCCTAGGCACGGCCATGGGACCTAGCACCCAGTTGGCGCAACGATGGCAAACTTCTTTTATAAGCCGCAGTGTCTCCACGCCAACCCCCATCAGATGGAAACAAATCTCATTTTGTTTCATGGACAGATGTCTCCTTCCAACTCCTTAAAACACCTCTTTCTCTTGAATTCATTTCAACCTTGACAGGAAGTTGTTCCTTGTACCTGAACTCAATTTGTAAGGACACCGCTTCTCCTTAGACCCTTTTAAAAATATATATATGTATTTTATTGGTTTTTTGCAGAGAGGAAGGGAGAGGGATAGAGAGTTAGAAACATCGATGAGAGAGCAACATTGATCAGCTGCCTCCTGCACACCCCATACTGGGGATGTGCCCGCAACCAAGGTACATGCCCTTGACCGGAATTGAACCCGGGACCTTTCAGTCCGCAGGCTGATGCTCTATCCACTGAGCCAAACCGGTTAGGGCTCCCTGGACCCTCTTATGTGAACACGGAGAATCGCTGGTCACCCTGCTTGGCGTTGGGACCATTTTTAGTGATGGGAGCTTTCCGATCGGCGCTCCCTTCCCTCATTCATTGCCAACTTCAAATTTGATCATGTCCCTTGTTTAACCGGAGACCGTCTCCAGCGAGTGTTCAAGCCCCTGGCAATGTGGTTTTCTAGGGCTATGAGCCGTGTCCTGTGCTCTTGGCTCATGCATTTGGGAGAGATTCTGATGTACTCTTTAGGGACCAAGAATTAGAATTTCATGCCCAGCTGGCGTGGCTCAGTGGTTGAGCGTTGGTCTATGAAGCAGGAGGTCATGGTTCTATTCCCGGTCGGGGCACATGCCCGGGTTGCGGGCTCCATCCCCAGTAGGGGGCGTGCAGGAGGCAGCCTACCCATGATTCTCTCTCATCATGGCTGTTTCTATCTCTCTCTCCCTCTCTGAAATCAAGAAAAAAAATATATATTAAAAAAAAATAGAAGTCTGTTGTTTCATGGGAAGGAAAAGGGAGGTGGAGTCCTACTCCTGCCGTGGTAGCAACATGAGCAAAGCTTAGAAGGCACCGGTACCCATGGTGAGCGTGGGCCACGGTGACTGGTCCTACGTGGCCGCCGCGCGCAGCGCTGGGGTGTGGGCTGTGGCTGGAGATGAGCCTCCGAGGGCTGAGTGATGGGTAGAGTCTTACTGACACATGATGAGTCAGGAGGAGGAAGGCCACAGCAGACGAACATTGCCACGCAAGGGAGCAACGCATTCGAACCAGAATTGGAGCAAATCGCAGTGCAGACTCGCCCCTCCCACCCTCAGACTGTGAAAGACACTGTTTGTTCTTCCGACTCCCTGCCTCTCCCTGTAAACTTGGCAGAGCCACTTTTTTTTTTTTTTAATGGGAAAGTCTTCATCGGGGGATTTACTCAATGATTCCTTTAACAGGATCGTTAAAGGAACATCGAGGCCCGTCGCATCCGCCTTCTTGAATCGCTCATTTATTATTACTGTGGGTGAGATCACGGCGCGGTGTGGCGCGTCTAAATGGTGTACGATATTTATTGGTGAATATAGCGGCGCGTAAATTAGTGCCAGTGGAGAGTTTGTGGGGCCTTTTTTTTTTTTCCCCTCCACGGATAGCCATGATTTCCACTTAAAGAAAAACAGTCTTGTGCTGATCCATCCAGGCTCGGAGCTGAGATCATTCTGAGCTCAGCATCTATATGACGATATTGTCTCCTAGTTCCTGCGGGAGGGCAGGGTTCTCTTAGTGAGCTGGTGCTATCCTTTCTGAAATCAATTTCTTTCCTGTTTATTAAAACCATATTGCTTGTGCCCGGCTGGCATGGCTCAGTGGGCGAGCGTCCACCTATGAACCAGGAGGTCACGGTTCGATTCCTGGTCAAGGGCACCTGCCCGGGTTGCGGGTTCAGTCCCCAGTAGGGGGCGTGCAGGAGGCAGCCGATCGATGATTTTCTCTCATCATTGATGTTTCTATCTCCCTCTCCCTCTCCCTTCCTCTCTGAAATCAATACAAATATATTAAAAAAATAAAACAACCACCCATAGTGCTGGGGAAGAGGGCACGTGGAGGTGTGAAATTTTCTTCTTTCTCCATCACGTCGAAATTCCATAACAAACCATCCAAATAAAAGTAGCTTTCATACGTGAGGATATGTATTATTTCACTCACCTGGAAGTCCACAGGTTGGTGGCTCCACAAAGCTGGTCATCAGTTGGTTAAGAATGTCACCAGCGCCCGGCCGGCCGGCGTGGCTCAGTGGTTGAGCGTTGACCTATGAGCCAGGAGGTCACCGATTCCCAGGCAACTTGTGTCTTGACGGCCTGGCCTGGCGACTGTAACGGGTGGTTTCCACTGAACGTTTGCGAGACGACTGCATGAATAATTCAATGAAAGGAAATGAAATCTGGGTCTTTCTCTTCCTTTTAATCAGTTTCTACTTTAGTCGTTTCCCCCTTTCCTCTTTCTCTCATCTGTCCGTTTCCTACCCTGTTTTCCCTTCTATGGCTCATATTTCATAATGAGCTAATACATTATACTCATTAGCTAACGAATCTGGCATCTTATGTCACCCAACGTTGCACAGCCTTGCTTTTATCATTTAACCCCTTCCCTCTTCTCAGAAGAAATGCAGTTTTTTTTGGGGGGGGGTGAAGGGGGTGCTGGAGGTGGACCCTGAAACATCAGTGTGGATTAGGGACACCATTCCCGGGACTCTCTTTTCTGTTATGAACCACCTTCGGGTTGACTTTCAAAGGGCCAGAGTCCTGCCCTGGCTGTTTGGCTCAGTGGATAGAGCATCGGCCTGCGGACTGAAGGGTCTCAGGTTTGATTCCTGGTCAGGGCACATGCCTGGATTGTGGGCTCGATGCCCATTTTTTAATATATTTATTTGTATTGATATCAGAGAGGAAGGGAAAGGGAGAGAGAGATAGAAACATCAATGAGGAGAGAGAAGCATGGATTGGGTGCCTCCTGCACACCCACTACTGGGGATCCAGCCTGCAACGCGGGCATGTGCCCTGACCGGGAATTGAACTGTGACCTCCTGGTTTATAGGTCGAAGACACTCAACCACTGAGCCACACTGGCCGGGTTCAGTGCTTACTCTTTTTAAAAAATATATTTTATTGATTTTTTACAGAGAGGAAGGGAGAGGGATAGAGAGTTAGAAACATCGATGAGAGAGAAACATCGATCAGCTGCCTCCTGCACACCTCCTACTGGGGATGTGCCTGCAACCAAGGTACATGCCCTTGACCGGAATCGAACCTGGGACCTTTCAGTCCGCAGGCCGACGCTCTATCCACTGAGCCTAACCGGTTAGGGCATCAGTGCTTACTCTTTTGTCCATCTTACTGCTCCAAAATGGGTCCTCCAGGTGGGGTTCTGAAGGGGACATAGGGAGGCAGAGCCCCATGGGAGCCCCCTCATTGTCATGATTTAGGGAGCCCCCCTTTAGGCCTTTTAAAAATATTTTTATTGATTTCAAAGCGGATGGGAGAGGGAGAGAGAGAGAGAAACATCAATGATGAGAGAGAACCATGGATCGGCTGCCTCCTGCACGCCCCCTACTGGGATGAGCCCACAACCCAGGCACGCGCCCTGACCAGGAATCGAACCGTGACCTCCTGGTTCATAGGTCGATGCTCAGCCACTGAGCCACGCCGGCCGGGCTGGGCACTGTTTAAGGCAGAAAGTCTTTCTCGGGAAGGAAGCCCACAGCCCCGCCCTCTCCACGTGCAGCCCGGCCACGCCGCCTCCCACCTCCTGCGTTTGGAGTAAAAGGCGCTTGTGTTCTCGTTGCAGAGCTCCTCCGACCGGGCGTCCATCCTGAGCATCCTCCAGGTCCTGGGGGACCTGCTCTCCGTAGGTGAGTGGGCCTCGCGGCCATCCCTGGCCTGGTGGGCGCGGGGCATCCCTGGGGCCGTGGCGTTCGCCCGGGAATCTGAGGGGCTCGGGGTTTTGCTCCAGCTCACGTTTCTCTGTGAGACAGAATCCCCACTGAGGTGCTTAGGTCCTGGGGACACCTGGGCTGGGTGGACATGGGGCTCCTCCGTCTTGTTACTCACCCTATGGGGATCCAAACTTAGGAGGATTCCGACGCCCGGTGGTGACTCTAGGGTAGCTCATCGATGAGGCCAAGGACCTCCGGGTGTCTGCAGCTCTTCAGAGAGAGCTGCCCTCAGCTGTTTGACCTCTCCTCCCTCTGGTCCCCTCATTGTGGCCCATTTTATTTATTTATTATTATTTTTTAATATGTATACATTTTATTGATTTTTAGAGAGATCAGAAGGGAGAGGGATAGAGAGGTAAAAACATCAATGATGAGAATCATCATCTGTTGGCTGCCTCCTGCACGCCCCCTACTGGGGGTAGAGCCCCTACCCCGGGCATGTGGCCTGACTGGGAATCAAACCTCTGACCTCTTGGTTCCTGGGTCGATGCTCAACCACTGAGCCATCCAGCCCAGCTATTTAAAAAATATTTTTATTGATTTGAGAGAGGAAGGGAGAGAGAGAGAGAGAAACATCCATGTTGAGAGAGAATCATGGATTGGCTGCCTCCTACATGCTCCCTACTGGGGACTGAGCCCACAACCCTTGCATGTGCCCTGACCGGGGATCGAACTGTGACCTCCTGGTTCACAGGTCGATGCTCAACCGCTGAGCCACGCCGGCCGGGCATGTGGCCCATTTTAGAGCCGGGTCTTGGCAGCTGCCTAACCCAGGTCCCCGGAGACGGGAATCCGAGGCCGGAGCTGGACCCAGCGGCGTGGTAAGCCCTGAGGTGTCCAGAGATAAGATGACGGCATTGACTGCGTTGGCATCAGCCGGGTTCACGGGGGCCATGGCTCTGTCAGCTCATCTCCGCGTGGCGAGTCCTGGCACACACAGCTTTTTGGACGGGGCACCATCCCCTCGGTTTTCATGTCTGTGTGCGCCAGCCGCACTGCGTGAGGAAGAAATACCAACACCACACAGACCAGACCCAAATGAACTCCCGGCCTCGCCGCAGAGACTCAGGCTCCAGTGTCCGGAGGAAAGATCCATTCACCCGGAGGTTTTTTTTTTGTTGTTGTTGTTGTTTTTAAATATATCTTTATTGATTACAGAGAGGAAGGGAGAGGGAGAGAGAGAGAGAGAGAGAAACATCAGCGATGGGAGAGAATCATAGATCAGCTGCCTCCTGCACACGCCATACCCGGGCATGTGCCCAGACTGGGAATCGAACTGTGGCCTCCTGGTTCATAGGTTGATACTCAACCACTAAGCCACGCCAGCTGGGCTAGGCTCAATTAAAAAAAAAATTGTATTGATTTCAGAGAGGAAGGGAGAGGGAGAGAGAGAGAAACATCCATGATGAGAGAGAATCATGGATCCGCTGCCTCCTGCACGGCCCCTACTGGGGATGGAGCCCGCAACCCGGGCATGTGCCCTTCACCAGAATCAAACCCGGGACCCTTCAGTCCGCAGGCCGATGCTCTATCCATTGAGCCAAACTGGCTAGGGCTAGGCTCAGGTTTTTACAGCTGCTAAAGGTGATACACCTAGGTACTTATTTCTTCTATTATTTCTACATTTCATACCCCTTCCCCCAGCCCAGCCCCTTACCTAATTGCATAACTTTCACTCAAGGTGATTCAAGAAGTACACAGTTTTGGTTTCTGGGGAGAAATGGACCAGTCCTTGCTCTATCGCTAGCTCCAAGGAAACGAGAGTGATTTTCCCGATGGCTCAGCTCTCCTCTGCTTCCGCCGTAGGCACGGACAGGCGGATCCGCTACATGATCAGCAAGGGGGGCAGCGAAGCCCTCCTGCAGACCCTGGTGGACACGGCAAGGACCGCGTCTCCGGACTACGGCATCCTCCTGCCCCTCCTCCGACTGCTGGCCAAGGTCGGCCTGCGAGGTACCCACAGCCCCGGGCCTGCGGATGACGAGTCTGTGGTGATGAGAGGAACTGGGGGAGCTCTCGTGGGACCATGCAGGGAGGAGCCCGGAGGGAGGTCCCAGACACCTGGGTGGTGATGGCAGGATCAGCCCCTTCGAAGAGGTCAGAAGAAGGAAGCAGAGCAAATGAGTCTGAATTATCCATTCCTTGCTGATTTGGTTAGATTTGGAATCATGGTGGTGTGACTATATGGGGGAAAAATGTCTTTCTTCAAAGAAGTGCACTTGAGCCCTAGCTGGTTTGGCTCAGTGAATAGAGCATCGGCCTGCAGACCAAAGGGTCCCGGGTTTGATTCTGGTCAAGGGCACGTACCTCGGTTGCAGGCTCCTCCCCAGCCCGGGCCCTGGTCGGGGAGTATGCAGGAGACAACCCATCAATGTGTTTCTCTCACATCGATGTTTCTCTCTGTCTTTCCCTCTTTCTTCCACTCTCTCTAAAAATCAATGGAAAAGCCCTCGTTGGTTTGGCTCAGTGGATAGAGCGTCAGCCTGCGGACTGAATGGTCCCAGGTTCAATTCCAGTCAAGGGCACATCCCCGGGTTGTGGGCTCACTCCCTAGTAGGGGGTGTGCAGGAGGCAGCGGATCCATGATTCTCTCTCATCATAATAAAAATATATATATTAAAAAATAAAAATCAATGGAAAAATATCCTCGGATGAGGATTACCAAAACAAACGAACAAAAAAAAAAACACAAAGAAATGCATTTGAAAGTATTTAGGAGCAAAAGGCTGGGTGCAGCCCTGAATTAGCTTTTCTGAGCCATCTGGTTCTAGTGGGGACATACTCAGCAGCATTTTCACACAGATCTGAGGAGGCTCCCCGGCTACGGTTAGCTTCTTCCCACCATCACCTTGGTCTTCCTTGCCCTCACACCCACCGTGCAACCTTCAGAAGGACTGTGCAACCCAACTAAGAGGGATTGACTTGTGTTCGTAGATAAGAAGTTTGGACAGAAGGCCCTGGAACTGGAAGCACTCGACGTCACGTTGATTCTCGCGAGGAAGAACCTGTCCCACAGCCTGAACCTCCTCCACTGTCTCTGGGCCCTGCGCGTGTTCGCCTCGAGCGGTGAGCGACTCCCCTGTGGCATTTTGGGGAGTTGTGGGGAGCTTCCAGACCTGGGCTGGGACACCCAGGCATGTACCTGGGTTGCAGGTTCGATTCCGGCCACGGTCGGGGGGTTTGTACGGGAGGCAACCAATGGCTATGTCTCTCCATTGCCCCTGATGGGAATCGAACTGTGACCTCCTGGCTCATAGGTTGAGGTTCAACCACTGAGCCATGCCGGCCGGCCAGGCACACTCATATTTGTTGAGCAGAGAATCAGAGATTATTTTGGAAGGGCTGATAGGAACTGTGCAAACCCATCTATACTAATAAAAGGGTAATATGCTAATTAGACTGGGTCGACTGGACATCTTCTTCCGGTCGTCCTTCCGGACAAAGCCATGGTGGTGGGGGCCGAGGCAGAGGTGGTTAGTGGCGATCAGGCCAGCAGGGGAGCACTTAGGGGCGATCAGGCTGGCAGGGGAGAGCAGTTAGGGGAGATCAGGCAGGCAGAGTGGTTAGGGGCGATCAGGCAGGCAGGCAGGTGAGCGGTTAGGAGCCAGTAGACCCGGATTGCGAGAGGGATCCCAGATTGGAGAGGGTGCAGGCCTGGCAGGCAGCCCCCCGCGCCCCCCACAGGAGCTGCCCACTGGTGGTCAGTGCACTCCCACAGGGGCAGCACCGCTCAGCCAGAAGCCCGGCTCACAGCTGGCAAGTGCAGTTGCAGTGGCAGAAGCCTCTCCCACCTCCACAGCAGCGCTAAGGATGTCTGACTGACAGCTTAGGTCCACTCCTGAGGGACCCCCCAGAGTGCATGAATTTCGTGTACTGGGCCTCTAGTCTCTAATAAAAGAAAAGGGAAACAAAGAGATGAAGCTTTGGTTAGAGGAGAGCTCTCCCGGAGGAGTAGCCAGAAGGTGTGCCACCCCCATGTGCAGCTTGCCAGTGACCGTTTGAAACATCTCATTCTTACATATAAGACTTCCTTCAGCAGGGAGCTCTGAAAACTGCTGGGATTCGCTGGTGGGTGTGGGGAGGTGGCCGCTTGCCTCCTGCTTTAAGACTGCATGCACTGTACCCACGAACGGTGTCATAAACCACTTTAAAAATGATCTGACCAGGCTCTACGCATGGCCTTCTCCGAAGGCGGGCAAGAAGAGTTCACACGCCCATGCTTTGCTCTCTCTTCGGTGAATGGTTCGCTGCGGTTGCTTGTTCCGGCAGCTTTCTCAACAGCTCCTCCCTGCAGAAGGAATGGGCTGGGACCAGAAGGGCTGGTGGCAGCCAGAGAGCCCTTTGGCAGCGCTGAGCTGGCGCGGGGCGGGGGGCGGGGGGGGGATATTTATAGAGCCGTCAGAGGTCTGACCTTGGGCCAGGCTCCAGCTGGGAAGAAGTCGGTTGAAGATTTCTTATTGTTATCCTCTCCCAAGTCTCCCGTCTTCCATGTTAGAATTTATGCTCTCAGCACCCTCTCCTCCTCAGCTCTACTTAATCCTAGCCTTTTTCGGACTTATGTGCCAGGAGATTGCTTTATTTATTTGTATGTGTGTGTGTGTTTTTTTAAATATCTTTTTTATTGATTTCAGAGAGGAAGGGCGGGGGGGAGAGAGAGATAGAAACATCCATGATGAGAGAGAATCATGGATCGGCTGCCTCCTGCAGGCCCCCTACTAGGGATGGAGCCCGCAACCCGGGCATGGGCCCTGGTGGGGAATCGAACCGTGACCTCCTGGTTTCTAGGTAGACGCTCAACCACGGAGCCACGCCGGCCGGCCGGGCCAATGCTTGGTTCTTATAGTTCAATACCAACTGCACCTTTGTCTTTCGCAGTCACCACGGGAGCCATGCTGGGAGTCAATGGAGCCATGGAACTGCTCTTCGAGGTCATCCCCTCGTACACCAGGAAGCGTACCCAGATCATCAGGTACCGAGGGCTTTGGTTAGTCCTTGCTTGTCTGGAATAGAAGCAGGGACGGCGATGACCTCATGTACTTTCTCATGGTGCTTCCGGCTCTGCTGAGTGAGGGGTTCCCCCGTGTGGATACGGTACAATGGCTTGACTTTGTCACAAGTTTCCACCCCCCCCCCATACACACACATGATATGTCATCTCCTCTAACCCTTACAACAACCCCGAGTGGATATATTATGATCCTCATTTTCACACGAGGAAATGAAAATGTGCAAAGAGCTGTAGCCGCAGTCTCGACGCTGCGAAAGGCAGAGTTGGGGTTTGTACCCAGATCTCTCCGACTTCAAAGCCGATTTCTTCTGCCCGAAGACTTCCGTTGTTCTTTGTATTTTTTATCTATTGTTTAAATATGTTTTTATTGATTTCAGAGAGGAAGGGAGAGGGAGAGAGAGATCGAAACAATCAATGAGGAGAGAGAATCATGGATCGGCTGCCTCCTGCACGCCCCACACTGGGGATCGAGCCCGCAACCCGGGCATGTGCCCTGCCCGGGAATCGAACCATGATTCCTAGGTTGACGCTCAACCACTGAGCCACACCAGCCGGGCTTCAGGTCTTCTTTTCACTCGCAGGCAACTCTACGGTGGTGAGTATAATCCTTAAAAGACAGTCCGCAAACGGCAGGGAAAGGTGCCGTTCCTGAGGCTCTCTGAGGAGTCAGCCAGGTAACTTTCCGATAGGAAATCTGTGCCTCAGAGTCGTCCATCATGGCTGTGGGCTGGTTTTCAGATTTTTTTTTTTTTTTTACGATCGGAAAATGACACTCTGCCATTCTGTCTGGCCCTGCGCGCCGGAGGGGAGTGAATCAGCAGCTTAAAAAGGGAGACGGTCAGACATGAAGGCGTTGGGGATATTTGGAACCATCATGCTCCATCATTCACGGCCGTGACTCAGCGAGGACCTTGAAAGAATATTAGAAAAGGCCCAGGCAATTCCCAAGATCCATGGGGTCGTTTGGCAACGCAGCTCTTCCGTGCCCGGCCATGATCCGCTCCGCATCCCAGCATCCATCTCGGGCCCATGTTCCCATCCGATACTTGTCTCCTGGGGTCACCACAGTGAGACCATTATCATCCATTGTCACCGGCAGCTCTCGACACTGGCATTTCCTAGAGTGAAATACAGTCATATCTCAGAAAAGAACACAAAACCCAAGCCCTAGCCGGTGTGGCTCAGTGGATAGAGCGTCAGCCTGTGGACCAAAGGGTCCCGGGTTCGATTCCGGTCAAGGGCACGTACCTCGGTTGCAGGCTCCTCCCCGGCCCGGGCCCTGTTCAGGGCGTGTATAGGAGGCAACCAATCCATGAGTTTCTCTCACATTGATGTTTCTCTCTGTCTTTCCCTCTCTCTAAAATTCAATGGAAAAATATCATTGGGTGAGGATTAACAAGAAAACAAAAACACCCAAAAAACCTAATTCCTCTTCAAATGTATTGAGAAGTACTGGGTTAAACGAAGGGTGGGCGATTTCTTTACCGTGAGAATTCTCAGAGCCTTCGTCAGGCACACACACATTCAGAACATCCGAGACGGGTACGTGGAATGCCCCGTTCTGACACTGGTTTGGCCGGGGGACTGCTTGTGTCTGGAGGCTGTCTTTTGTTGGGAGTCATTGTTCTCTGTACCTCACTGCAGATCCCCCCCCTCTAAAGTGCAAATGTCTTGCAAAATGAGTTTCCACGAAATTCTACCAAGTCATGGTCATTGAGAAAGAACAAAACTTCAGAGTCACAAACTCGGTCACAGCATCAACCAGCAGTGGACTTCCGTGACTTTTATTTCCATCTGTGTCCATGTGGATATGAATGATTTGCATATGTCTGGTTTTTAAAAATTTTATGCATTTATTTAGTTTTATTGCTTTCAGAGAGAGGAAGGGAGAAGGGAGAGAGAGATAGAAACATCCATGATGAGAATCATGGACCAGCTGCCTCCTGCACGCCCCCTAGTGGGGATGGAGCCCACAACCTGGGCATGTGCCCTGATGGGGAATCGAACCTGACCTCCTGGTTCACAGATCGATGCTCAACAAGTGAGCCATGCCGGCCGGGCAGCACCTATATTTTATGATTCCATTCATGTGAGGTCCCGGAGCCGGCAAAGTTAGTTTACAGTGACAGAGAACGGATCAGTGGTGGCCTACAGCTGGGGCGGAGGTAGGTTCCCCTTCTGGAGCCATATGACAAATCAAAACCAAACCTCCATGGAACGGAGACTTCTCACGGCCCAATACCCTGGAGCCGGCTCGGCTGCGACCTTCCTCCTGTGCCCGGCCCTGTGCTGAGCTCTCAGCAGCCATCATCTCCTTTGAGTTTCTACCCTGTGAGAGTAGCAGGTGCCATGACTGTCCCCACATTTACCGGGAATGAAGAAACGGAAGCGGAAAGAGGTTAAGTAACGCGCTGGGATTTAAGCAGAAAGCGCTGGGGTGTTAAACCCCGTCTGAGACTCCAGCCTTCGCTCTTATACCACCGCCGGGGTGTCTTTCGCAGCCATTTCCAGCATTTTATTCCTAAACCACCATATGGAAGACAGTCATACGCTGTTAAGTTTGTTTGAATTCGGGGTATCATCTACATGGCTCGTACTCATGGAATGATGTGCTTAATGATGGGGGAGTCTTTCTGCTCAATCGAATGGCTATTTCCTCTCAGAGGGTAAATCAATGTGTGCCCTCTGCCTTTTAAAAAAAAAATCTTTTCGTTGTAAGTATTACATATGTCCCCCCCTCCCGCCATGGACCCCTTCAAGCCCACCCCTTCCCTCCCCCCCACCTCAGGCCTTCACCACACTATTGTCTGTGTTCCCGGGTTATGCACATGTGCATACAAGTTCTCTGGTTGATCTCTTCCACCCACCCACCCACCGCCACCTTCCCTCTGAGATTCCTCAGTCTATTCCATAGGTCTGCGTCCCTGGATCTACCAGTATTTTGTTCATCAGTTTATTTTGTTCATTAGACTCCACACAGGAGTGAGATCGTGTGAGACTTGTCTGTCTCTGACTGGCTCATTTCGCTTAGCGTGATACTCTCCAGATCCCTCCATGTGTCTCAAAGGATAAGAGTGCCTTCCTTGCCCTCTGCCTTTGAATTTCCTTGTTTTCAACCCCAAGATAAGAACCGAGAAGTGTTGAAACCAGAAGACTTGTATTACAGCCCTCTCGCTAGGTGGTCCTCAAGGTATGACTAGCAAGTCCTCACTCCTCGGTTGGTTGCGGGCACTAAGAAATAAGGTGTAAGCCTGGCCATTGTGGCTCGGTGGTTGAGCATCAACCTAGGAACCAGGAGGTCACGGTTTGATTCCCGGTCAGGGCACAGGCCCGGGCTGCAGGCTCGATCCCCAGTGGGGGGGCGTGCGGGAGGCAGCCGATCCATGATTCTCTCTCATCATTGATGTTTCTATCTCTCCCTCCCTCTCCCTTCCTCTCTGAAATCAATACAAATATATTTTTTAAAAAAGAAAGACGGTGTAAGGATGTTGTAAGCGTTGATGTGCGTAAAATACCGTTCATTTATTCGTACAAATTCCGTTGGCTCCTTGGCCGACTGCTTCCAACAGAGCCCGAGGGGAATGTGGAGATGGGACGTTTGGGCTGGGGCCCACCTTCTCCCATGGACTCATCTCCCGAGGGTCATTAAGACGCACCCAGTGAGTCCTCCGGGGCTCCCCTTGGGTGCCAGGACCTGGGGGTGGGAAGGGGATGAAGTACCCTGTCAGGGGACGCGAATAGCCCTCCTGAGTCCCATCCCCCCAGCGCCGGTGGCCAGGGGAGAGCTATTCTGGGACGCTTCGTGGGAACAGATGCCCAGCGGTGTGTCACTGTTTCCTCCCTGCCCTGGAGATTAAGCCTGCCCCACTTCCCTAATCAGACCTAAAATTAGCCGCGCAGCTGTCCCCCGCCGAAGCCCTGTGTCCACACGGTACTCAGGGCGAGATTTATGACAGAGGCCCGCACCACGCACATGCACCTTCCAGGGAGAAGGGGCACGCGGAGCAATGTCACTGGGTGAACCCCGGGTGGCCGGGGGCCAGCCCTCGCTCCCAGGGGAGGCGGCTGGCCCAGGCCTCCCTCACACCCCAGACACCCACCGAGCTGGCACGGTGGCCTTGCTCTCAGATATTCGCGTTGGCTGGCACCGGCTTCCGCATGATCATCCCCTTTGACTACCGCCCTTCCTTGACTTCAAGGCAATCAAGAACGGGTCCCTGTCTCCATTTCCATCGTTATTGACTTCCTCCTCCTCCTCCTCCTCCTCCTTCTTCTTCTTCTTCTTTTTTAATATACTTTTATTGATTTCAGAGAGGAAGGGAGGGGGAGAGAGAAACATCAATGAGAGAGAAGCATGGATCGGCTGCCTCCTGCACGCCCCCTATTGGGGATTGAGCCCACAACCTGGGCATGTGCCCTGATCGGGAATTGAACCTCCTGGTTCATAGGTTGACGCTCAACCAAGGGGCCATGCCAGCCGGGCATTCGGGCTGGGATTTATGCTGTTGTGACTCAGGGGTTCCGGAGGCCTGGGTTGCTACGGGGCCATGAAGTTGGAGTCTGTGAGCTCCACCCGCGGGGTCGAACCACCTTGGCAGCAGGAGGAGATGGGCAGGTTGGGTCTCAAGTATCAGCAAGTTCTTCAGCTTAGTCTCCTGTTGTCTGTCCCAACAGCTTAGAACAGTGTTAGGTGACCTCCTCCTTGCAAAGTCCGGTGCCGGGCAGCGCTGGCGCCTGAGCTTTGCCCACGTGCAGCTGTTCATGAGCGACAAGCTATGTCCTGCGCCCGCTCTCCCTCCCCTCCAAATCGCAACGCTCTCCCCAGGCGAGGCCTTCGGGGCTTGCTCCGACCATCCCACCCTCCCTGCTCCCTGCCCTGCTCCTAGTCGCTGAGAGATGAGCAGAGACCCTCAACCAAAGCGAACGGGTTCCCTGCCCTCAGGGGCGATGGGAGGACTCAG